TTAGTGGTATTTGTTTACCCTGGCAAAAAATACATCAAAATAAAGGTTTTTTCATATATTTGTTATTTTTTATGATTCAAGTAACAATTTGATTAAATCAGGCAAGTTTGTGTATGAAAGCATGATTTTTTTCTTCATTTTTTCATATAAAATTCCGTGTTGATCAAAAAAATTTTATTAGTGAGTGACACTTGACCCCCTGTAGATCCGCAATGTCCTGCGACTGATAGTGATAGTATTTTTCTGATAAAAAAATATATAATTTTGATCTACATAGGCATGTTACACCCCGATATTCCATGACAGAGCAAGAATCACGTGGAATCAGTTTTTATCAAAATGTAAATTGGATATTTTGGGATGTTTTTGCACATCAATATACCCCTTAATTATTATAGACATATATACTCTCTTGAAAACACTTTACTATGAATCTATGGAATAGTTATTTCGATGATACTCCAGTTAAAAACTGGTCTGCTTTTCAGTTCACAAAAATTGGATTGAGACTCACAAAAATGATCCTGAACAATTAATTTATAGCAAGGCCACGGACGCATTTCATAAAAGTCTACATGCGATAATCAATTGAAGCTCAGATCTCCCAAAAATCTGGAAAGCTAACGAACTTTTAGTCAATTGTCAGGCAAGTACTATCTTTCTGTAGGGAATGCCCTCTGCAGTAAACTTTTAGTTGACTGTGGCTGTCCACAACAAGGAAGACATGACTTTTAGTTATCCTTCTGATCATCTTTTAGATCGTTGTGGTTGTGGCATCCATAACAAGGAAGACACAACTTTTAGTTGTCCTTCTGATGATCTTTTAGATCGTTATGGTTGATACATTAATAGTATTGTTTTAGTATGCCAAAAGCATTTTAAATATGTTAATCACATTTTTTTCTCTTTATTTTCTCAATTTTTTTGTACCAAGAATAAGAATCAATGTAAATCAGGAAGTAATATTGATATTTTATGGTCCAGTGTTGGTGAAACTCTTAAAGAAAAGAATATTAATGTGGGAACAAACTACATACAACTTGTTTCTTGCAAAGGTGTAAACATTGGCAATATTGGGGATAAATGGTCATTCAAGACATAGATAAAAAAAGGATCTAGTGAGTTGAAACAGTTATTATGTATATATAGCATAGTTTAATTTTTTACAGTGCATTACTATTATTTTGCCTTTATTGAATATTACATCAAACAGGTTTTGAAACTGAAGATAAGAAGAATCCAGCTGGCAATTCATATAAATGCCAACGTACAGAAGGTGAAAATATGAAACATTCAGATAACAAAAACTTTTTTAATACTGTAAAATATGATGATAACGAGAAGGAATCAATTTCCTCTTGAGAATACACTTGCTCTGACTGTTCATAAAACTCAAGGATTGACCTTGCCACATGTAACATTGAATGTTGACGAAAGTATGTTTGCTGAAGGACAAGTGTATGTTGCAATGAGTCGAGCTCCCTCATTGGAAAAACTGCAAATCCTTGATTTTGATTATTCCCAATTAAAAATTTCCAGGGCGGCTTTGGAAGAGTATAAAAGATTGGAGGCTGTGAGCATTGATGGGTTACAAAAACTAACAATGCTGTAAAAAAAATATTCTTTGTAAAAATTAAATTTTTTAAAATTCCTAAAAAAATTCTACACTGATGCTTGTGTAATGTGATGATTACACAAACTCGCTGCAGCCTATTAAAATCTTATTAATATTAATAATGCATATATTTTTTTTGTTACCTTATCTATTATGACATAAAAATAAAAGATAAACCAAAATTTGGGAAAGTTGGTTGGTTAAGATGAAAATGGTTTTAGTTTTTCTCATCAATCACATTAAAACCTTCTAATCCAAATATATTAAGAAAAAGACCAAGTTTGTATTGCAAGTTCTTTACTAATTCAACAACTTTGAATGATTTAGGTTCAAGAGCTCATTCAGTGGACATTACTTCAGGAAGATTTTATCTCTCAAGATCCTTAATGTTTAGATCCATGTTTAGTGTTACTCTTACATATTCAATAATGTATAGCTAACATACATTATGATATTCAAATAAAAAAATGCTTAGTTGTGGAACTTGAATTTGTACATACGGTGCAGATCATCTATAATCATTAGTTGCTTATATAGTCAACCCCCTCTAAGTGCACGCTCTCACTCATTCCCAAGCTTGGTAATTAGAGATAAGTGCACACCCCCTCTCCCCTGCACTGCACGGTCATTTTCCATTCCCAACTATATAAAACTCCCTCTCTAAGTGC